ACCCTCCCAGACCATAAGTTGATGCGGGAGAGAATGGCTATCAAATAAAGGAACGGGAAAATGTGTTGGGGGTATTGATGACTTTGACGAAGACTTGAAGCTCTTAATAATTTCCTTCCAGGAAGACATTTTTTAAAAACATAAATTTTTTTTATAGAAAAAACAGTAAATAGTTTTTGCATGTGAGTTTAATGCTATAGACCACATAGTTAAATAAATAAGGCATCTAAACCATTGAAATTATTTATTCTACATGGCATCTTCTTCAACACAATTTGAAAAGTCTTTGCCCAAAAGTATGGGGCACACACAATTCCTTCCAGGATGTTTAACAATATAGTAAAAATTATTTTTTAAAATATATTTTTGTATAAAAATATAGTAAAATAATATTTTTTATTTTTAAAAAATTATTTTTAATATTAGTACATTAAAATGATCTAAAAACATAAAAAAAATAATTTAAAACAAGGAAGTTTTCTAAAAAAAATTTAAAAATACTTTTAAAACATGAAAATAAATATATCTAAATTAAAAAAAAAATAAAAATAGTAAATGGTTTTTGGTTTTTTCCACATGACATCTTCTTAAACACATTGAAGACTTGGAAAGTTTTTGCCCAAAAGTATGGGCATGCACAATTTTAGGATGTTTAATAGTGTGGTAGAGATTATTTGTTAAAATATTTTAAAAAAATATACTAAAATAATATTTTTAATTTTAAAAAAAATTATTTTTGATATTGATACATTAAAATGATCTAAAAATACAAAGAAAAAAATAAAATTTTTAAAGTACTTTTAAAATATAAAAACAAATATATTAAAATAAAAAAAATGAGGAAAGCAGTATATGTTTTTTGGTTTTTCCCATGTGACATCTCTTTAAACACACTGAAGACTTGAAAAATCCATGCCCAAAAGTATGGAGCACACATAATTCCAGAATTTTTAACAGTGTAATAAAAATTATTTTTTAAAATATTTTTTGTTTAGAAATGAATTAAATTAATATTTTTTTATGTTTTAAAAATTATTTTTAATATTAATATATTAAAATAATCTAAAAATAAAAAGAAAAAAAATTAATTTCTTTAAAAGTAATTTTAAAATAAAAAACAAATATATTCAAATAAAATTTTTTTAGGGAAACATTAAATTGTTTTTGGTTTTTTGCACGCAGCCATCTTAAACTCAGCGATGACTTGAAAAGTCTTTGCCCAAAAGTTTGACAGTGTAGTTGAGTTTTTTTTATGTTTTTATTTAAAAATATATTAAAATAATATTTTTATTTTTTAAAATTAATTTTAACATTATCATATTAAAATAATTTAAAATAAAAAATATTAATTTAAAATAAAAAAAATATTTTTTAAAAATACTTCTGAAACTCAAAAATAAATATATTCAAATAATTTTTTTTTATGAAAACAACATATTAAATTAAACAAGGCATCTGAACTATTAAAATTAATTTTTCTGCGTGATATTAGTTGGAATTTGTTTTATTATTATTATTATTATCTCTCTTTCCTTTGTGTTTACGGAAGTATTATTAGTTACACTTTAAGAATTATAAAATAAAAAGAAAATAAAAGAAATGATATCCATCGACCCTGACTTATACAATATAAGGACTTGATTTTAAATTTTTGGTTGATCGGGAAGGAAAAACTTACTTGTGAGAATTTATTTTTTTATTCCTGAATCAATTATTTTAATGTCATTTTAATTACTAGAACCAAAGTGATATTCTACAATATGAATGTTTTTATAAATCTTGTCAAGTCAATGTAGAGAATTAAGATAAAAGAAGAAAAAAAAAACTATGTTCTTTCAATTATGAAAATTTATATTCTTTTATATAGGTTATATCTCATAATTTAATATGATTAGAGAAGATAATTACTTCCATTAGTAATTTTTCTAATAAATTGAATCAGGTCCATTTATTATGGGCAGACCAGACGTAATCCAATAACCAACGTTTTCTTATAATGTAAGGAAAATAAATGGAAGTTAGGTAAAACTAGAGAATTGCCGGTATAAAAATGTTGAGGTGCCGTTCTTTCCACTCCTCTGAACTCAAGCAGAACATCTGAGAAATCATTCCTCGAATCACTTGTCACTTTCTTATTCTCCACGCTCTCCTTGACAAACTTCGAAGCAATCTCCATGGCCTTCCCAAGATCTCTCTCCAAGTGATTTCCATTTAGGAAGACATTTTTTTAACACACTGATGACTTGGAAGTCTCTTCCCAGAAGTAAGGGGCACGCACAAGTAACTGTCGGAAGAAATTTAGAGAAACAGTAAATGGTTTTTGCGTATACATTGTATCTGTCGATTTTCTATATATGAGGTTCAGTCTTCAGACCACACTAGCCATTAGAATTTCTCATCCAAAAATAATTAGACATATAGGCTTTTTAATGTATTTTTATACATAAACAAGTTTTTAAATGTAAATCAAGAAACTCATACAATGTCTTTTAAAAACAATACTTTTTCACCACAGAAATACATGGTTGAAAGAAAGGAATGAGAAAGCGAGGGGGTTATTGATGACTTTGAGCAAGACTGAAGCCCTAAGTAATTTCCATTGATGAAGGCAAGCACTTAACATGGAAGTGCTGATTTCTTAGTTGTCAACGGAAATGACTAGGAAGATGAGGTATCTTCTTAAACACATTGATGACTTGAAAAGTCTTTGTCTAGAAGTATAGGGCATGCACAATTAGAGAATGTTTAGCGGTGAGTAGAGATTATTTTTTCATATTTTTTTTTTAGAAATATATTACAATAATAGTTTTTATTATTAAAATAATTTAAAAAATATCAAGAAAAAATCAATTTAAAACAAAGAAAAAATATATTTTAAAAAATACTTTTGAAATACAAAAACAAACATATCCAAATAAATGTTTCCTAGGAAAATAATAAATGGTTTTTGCAAATGAGGATAAGACTATAAACCACATAATAAGATAAATAAGGAATCTGAATTAGAGATGATCATTTTCGGTTTGGTTCGGTTTTTATCAAAAATAATAACCAAACCAAAATATTTAAAAGAAGCAAAATCAAATTGAAACAGGTTCAAACCAATCGGTTTCGGTTTGGTTTGGTTTGGTTTTTAGGGAAAAAACCAGTGCAAACCAGTTTGCTTGGTTTTTTTTATTTGGCTCGGTTTTCTTAGTTTTGACTCGATTTGACTCAATTTTTTCAATGTGGCTCTATTTTTTCTAGTTTTGACTCGGTTTGGCTTAGGTTTTTTCTGGTTTGACTCGGTTTTTTCAATTGGGTTTGGTTCGGTTTTCTACTTATAAAACCGAAATCAAACTAAACCGGCCAGTTTTTTTAAAATTTTAATTATTTTTTTATGATTCAGTTTTTTCAATTATTTTTTTCTAATTTTCTTGGTTTAATCAATTTTTTGGTTGTTTTGCTTACCCCTAATTTGAATCATTAAATTTATTTTTTCCATGTAGCATCTTCTTACACGCACTCATGACTTAATATTAGATGATGTTTAATATTGTAGTAAGGATTGATTTTTAAAATATTTTTTGTTTAGAAATATATTAAAATATTATTTTTATTTTTTAAAAAATATTTTTGATATTAACACATCAAAATATTTGAAAACATCAAAGAAAAATAAAATATAAATAGAGCATATAAATAGAGCATGTGAACCATTAAAATAATTTTTTAAAAATAATTTTAAAACACAAAAATAAATATATCCAAATAAAAGCTTTTTAGGAATTTTTACCTATAAGGTTAAGGCTACAAACCACATAATAACATAAATAGAGCATGTGAACCATTGAAATTATTTTTTCCAACATCTTATTAAACACACTAATGACTTGAAAAGTCTTTGTCCAAAACCATGGGGCATGCATGACTAGATAATGTTTAACAGTATAGCAGAAATTGTTTTTTAAATTATTTTTTATTTAGAAATGTATTAAAATAATATTTTTTTATTTTTAAAAAATTATTTTTATATTAGCACATTAAAATAATCAAAAGTAGTAAAAAATAATTTAAAGCAAAGAAAAAATATTTAAATTATTTTAAAAATACTTTTAAAATAAAAAACAAATATATCCTAATAATTTTTTTTTGAGAAACAATAAATGGTTTTTTCCCATAAAATTAAGGCTAACACCATGTAATAAGATAAATAAGACATCCTAACCATTTAAGTTATGTTTTTTGAAGTGGCATCTTCTTAAACATATTAATAACTTGAAAAGTCTTTGTTCAAATTCATGGGGTAAGTATAATTAGAGGATGTAGTTGTAATGTAGTAAAGATTGTTTTTTAAAATATTTTTTATTTAGAAATATATTAAAATGATTTTTTTTATTATTTTAAAATTATTTTTGATATTAATATATTAAAATAATATAAAAAACAAAAAAAAATTAAAGTGAATAAATTTTTTAAAAATACTCAGGGGCACATATTATCAATAAATGTCCGAAGAAATTTAGAGAAGCACTGTTTTGGCCACGCGAAGATTTGGAGAACACGGTAGCATCTTCTACTTTTCATCAACACTCAAATCAATATCCATGACCATTTTTTCATTCTAGCTCCCTCAAGTTTATAATCCTTTCCCTACTTTGGTCAATAAATCTTTTTTTTTTCTACTATGATGTTCATGAGAGATACGACTAATGAGTGAGAAATAAAAAAAAAAAGTTTGATTTTTTTTTAATTTTCTCTTTCCTTTATGTTTGTGAAAGTATTATTAGTTACACTTGAAGTATTATAAAATAATAAAAAATAAAAGAAATTATATCCATCGACCTTGACTTATACAATATAAGGACTTAATTTTAAATTTTCTTATAGTGTTTTTGATATTATAAATAGGGAAGTTGTGTAGTGAATGGATATTCAAAGTTAAATAATTACCCGCCAAATTCTCATTGCTCTCAATTATTATTTCCATACCCTCTTCGATATTATCTTTTTTGGTGATCATGCAGCTGATAAAGCACGAGAAGTCGTTTCATCTTCTTTATGTGCTTATTGTGCTTGTATTGCTCATGAAACTTGCTCCTAGGTTCATTTCTGGAGTGAAAGGGGCAACTTTCGGGTGCATAGAGAGGGAGAGACAAGCCCTTCTCAAGTTTAAAGAAGACCTTATTGATGACTTTGGTATTCTTTCAACTTGGGGAAGTGAAGAAGAGAAGAGGGATTGCTGCAAATGGAGAGGAGTTGGATGCAACAATCGAACTGGTCATGTTACTCATCTTGATCTTCACCGGGAGAATGGCGGCAAGTATTTAACTGGTAAGATCAGTAATTCATTACTGGAGTTGCAGCATTTGAGTTACCTGAATCTAAGTGGAAGCGAATTTGAATTGAGTTCTTTTGAAGGGAGTCCTTTTCCGTATTTCATTGGGTCCCTAAAAAACCTAAAATACCTTGATCTCTCCTTTATTGGTGTTGTTGGAACTCTCTCAAATCAGTTTTGGAACCTTTCAAGACTACAGTATCTTGATCTTAGTGGTAATTATTATGTTAATTTTACAAGTCTTGAATTCCTCTCCAACCTTTTTTCTCTTGAGTACCTTGATCTAAGTGGAAATAATGTCAGTCAAGCTATTGATTGGATGCAAATAGTTAACAAGCTGCCTTTTTTAAAAATCTTACGGTTAAGTGGATGTGATCTTTCAAAAAGCAGTCCCCCATCTCTTTCTTCTACAAATTCTTCTAAATCCCTAGCTGTCATTGATCTCTCTCAAAACTATCTTGCTTCTTCAACATTCAATTGGTTGTCCAACTTTAATAGCAGCCTTGTTGATCTTGATCTTACAAGTAACTGGATTATCAGTTCTGAAAACCTCGATTGGCTTTCCCATCTTTCTTCTTTAGAGCATCTTTACTTGAGTAACAATAACCTTAGTCAGACGATTGACTGGCTGCAAATGCCTAACAGGCTCCCTCGCTTACATGAATTGTTGTTAAGTTCTTGTAGCCTTTCAATTATCGGTTCTCCATCTCTTTCTCTTGTAAACTCCTCTAAATCTCTTGCTCTCGTTGATTTCTCTTTGAACGATCTTTCCTCTTCAATATTCTATTGGTTGGCCAACTTCGGTAACAGCCTTGTTGATCTTGACCTCTCACATAACCATTTACAAGGTTCAATTCCAGATGCTTTCACGAACATGACTTCTCTTAGGATTCTTGATCTATCCTCTAACCAATTACAAGGCGATTTGAGTTCATTTGGGCAGATGTGCAGTTTAAATAAAATGTATATAAGCGAAAACAATCTCAGTGGAGAGCTGTCTCAGTTGTTTGTATGCGTGGAGAGCTCACTAGAGATTCTACATTACAGACGTATGATCATTACGCTTCAACCGGGTTATTCTATTCCACCTCTTAGAAAGAAAAGAACTTAAATCAAAATACTTAATAGCATGGCGATACATTTATACAAAACTTCTACCCCGAGCACACGCAATGGAGCCGTAGACAGTCAAGTGAAATCCAATACACGAAATAATTTGATCTATGGGCAGCATCGTTGTGGTAAAGGCCGTAATGCCAGAGGAATCATTACCGCAAGGCATAGAGGGGGAGGTCATAAACGTCTATACCGTAAAATCGATTTTCGACGGAATGAAAAATACATATATGGTAGAATCGTAACCATAGAATACGACCCTAATCGAAATGCATACATTTGTCTCATACACTATGGGGATGGTGAGAAGAGATATATTTTACATCCCAGAGGGGCTATAATTGGAGATACCATTATTTCTGGTACAGAAGTTCCTATAAAAATGGGAAATGCCCTACCTTTGAGTGCGGTTTGAACTATTGATTTACGTAATTGGAAGTAACCAATTAGGTTTACGACGAAACCTAGAAATCGATCACTGATCCAATTTGAGTACCTCTACAGGATAGACCTCAACAGAAAACTGAAGAGTAAGGGCAGCAAGTGATTGAGTTCAGTAGTTCCTCATATAAAATTATTGACTCTAGAGATATAGTAATATGGAGAAAACAAAATTGTTTCAAGCACCGACAAAACTAGAAGCGCCCCTTGTTTCAAAGAGAGGAGGATATGTTATTCACATTTCTTTTGATGGTCAGAGACGAATTGAAAGCTAAGCAGTGGGAATTCTAAAGATTCCCCGGGGAAAAGATAGAGATGTCTCCTACGTTATCCTTAATACCCCTAACTTCCAAATCTGTTTTTTTCATGATGTGTTAAAGTATTGCTTTATTGTTGAGGCTTGATTCCATCTATTTAAAGCTTAATATAGAGAATATTCAGTAGGGAGGAGTTGATTTCTAATGATTTTTCTGTTCCCCCCATTTGTTGCACTCCCCTGTTTTATGCAATAGCTTTTGTGCTTTCCTTTTCTATGCTTGTTCTCTTAATGTAAGTTAGCTATTATCTTTGTAGTTTTTTTCTTAATAAAATTATTGATTATTACCAAAAAAAAAAAAGCTACTTGCTAATGGAAAGGCCGTTAATATATGAACAGTTTTACTTTGGCTAATTATTTGATCGATGGGAAGTTTTTATTATTTATTTTTTTAGATGAGAAACTTTTTTATTTTCTTCTTAAAGAAAGTACTCTAATGAAGGAAAATGACATGCCCTGGGTTACCTACTTTTATCCATTTTTTTTCAATAAATGCAAGACTACAAATAGTTGCACTGCATTTGCTGATGACTTTGAGCAAGACTTGAAACTCTGAATTTCCATGCAGGAAGATATGCACTTCACTTGGCAGTGCTGATCTCCACAGAAGTCAATGGAAATGACTAAGAAGCTGAGGCATTATACATATGTCCCAGCTTGAAACATTGAATTTGTACATTAATAGCTTTGATGGAGAGTTACCTCTGTCTTTAAGCGATTGCATTTCTCTTGCCATAGCAAATATTCTGATCTTGGACCTATCTCTAAACAATATCTCTGGAATCATACAAAAAATGCCTCAATAACCTTAGTTCCCTTGTTTGGAAAACAGTTGCTGGGAATTCCATAACTAGCCATGGATTTAATTTTGGTAGCAACGTTATGCTCCAGTATCTTTATCGAAACAAGGTTAGTGTTGGATGGAAAGGAAGAGAGCATGAATATGATAGTACTCTTGCACTTTTGAGGATCATTAATTTTGCAGGAAACAAATTAACAGGGGAGATTCCAGAAGAAATAATTAACAGGACTCTTACAGTTGATGACACTGAACTTATCAGGAAACAATTTTACTGGAGCAATCCCTCAAAAGATCGGGCATTTAAAACAGTTACAATCACTTGATTTATCCTCAACGAGCCTTTCAGAGGCTGCACGAGCACGGACTTTGCTTAGAAGGACAAGGTAATGTGGTTATTCACATATCTTTTCGTTTCTTTTTATATGGAAGACTAATGGTTCATTTTATACCAGGAGCTGCAGCTGGGTGCATAACAGGTTCTCTTTGTCCAAGGAGTTCGTATTGTTAGTGCACGTGTTTGCTGGAGCTACACCGTCGTTTACCTTGGCAACTGCATCGTCGTCTACTACTACAAGTTTGAAATAAGGTTCCATTGGAGAACTCTTTGTACAGCCGCTGGGTTTTAAGGGAAACTATGAAAGTGATTATGTAATATATTATGGAATCTCAAAGTTGGTTTTTATGTGAATTTCATTTGGAATGTTTTTGCAAGTATTTAGTTCTTTACTTAACAGTGTGAAGATGGAACATATTCATTCTCCAAATAAAAAAATTAAGCCAGTACTTGCTTATATTGCTACAGAATTTAATTAAAAACAGATGTAATTAACATTTTTATTTAACTGCTTTTGTTGAATTATTGGCTTTAAATCAAGCAAGCAGGTATTGAAATTGATGTTAATAATTCAAACCTATACATATAATTACCGGAGGAAATAAAATTTCAGAGAAATTTCTTCGAAGATTAGTTCAAAAGGTATAATTATATGTGTCAATTAATGGTGATTGTTGAAAAGTATGCCCATTCTTGTAAGGAGGTGAAAAAATGGGGTTGCGATGCAGCCATTGACGAGTTCCATTGCGATCTTACTTAATGAGTCAACGCTACAAAGCTATTAAAAGAATTTTTAAAGGGAAAAGCGACTTCACATATTGCTTTCTTCTTTTGGGTCATCGAAAGTCATTCAATACTGAACATCATCTAGAATAACACAAGTCGTTTAGCTGACTAATTGCTTGATTTTTTCATGAATGTATATGAATCTCAATCTGGAAATCACAAAGATTATGAACTGGGAAGTGAGATTTCCCTTAGAACAAAGATTATGTGCACTTTAAATAAACTGTTTATAAGTGAAAACAATCTCACTGGAGAGCTATCTCAGTTGTTTGGATGCGTGGAGAGCTCACTAGAGATTCTGCACCTACATGGAAATCAGCTTCAAGGTTCACTGCCCGACATCACAAGATTCACTTCAGCTTCAAGGTTCACTGCCCGACATCACAAGATTCACTTCAGCTTCAAGGTTCACTGCCCGACATCACAAGATTCACTTCAGCTTCAAGGTTCACTGCCCGACATCACAAGATTCACTTCAGCTTCAAGGTTCACTGCCCGACATCACAAGATTCACTTCCATGAGAGAGCTGGATCTCTCTCGGAATCAACTGAATGGATCTTTACCAAAACGATTTAGTCAGCGTTCTGAACTTGTTTTCTTGTACTTGGACGACAACCAACTCACTGGATCACTTACAGATGTTACGATGGTTTCATCATTGATAGAGTTGAGGATCCGTAACAATCGCTTAGATGGGAATGTTTCTGAAAGTATTGGAAGCCTATCTCAACTCGAGGAATTGCATGTCGGAGGGAATTCTCTGCGAGGAGTGATGTCTGAAGCTCACTTTTCAAATCTCTCCAAATTAACGGTATTGGATTCCACTGATAACTCCCTATAGCTTTGAAATTTGAGTATAACTGGGCTCCTTCTTTTCAATTGGTTCACATATTTCTTTCTTCTTGTGATTTGGATCATCATTTCCCTCAATGGCTTTGAAATCAAAATAATTTCATGATGGAGCTATATCTCTGTTAACATGTAATTAACTGAATTAGCTGAATTAGAGGATAGTTTTCTATATATAGAAGACATACTCTATAGGAGTCCTGAAAGATTATACATTGTTGTATTCCTTTTAGGATAGGAAAGATGTAACCGACATATATATTTGCTTATATAAGACATCCCTCCACAGGAGAAAAATAATATGCAGAGTATACATCCAACCCTAAGTCTTAAAAGTTAACATAGTACAAAGCAAGGTTGAAAGCAAAAATCCCCCTTTAGCCGCCACATTAATCTTCACCTAGAAATGGTCTTGAAACAAGGGACCAACCATGGATGACACAAATACTTTTATTATCCCCATAAACCAGACATCAATCTCTGTTGAAACATCTAACCTAAACACCTTACTGTTGGGAATTCCGACCGGTGATGTTCTGATATTTGCTCATAGGAGACCAAGCACACTGACACAATATTTAACATGGTTCGGCAAACCGCCTACATCCACGGGAGAAACCATTACATTATGTAGGGAGGGTACAAAATTTACAACAATAGAGGAGGAATTATCTTCTCTTTGGCAACTCTCAACCTCACTCTATTTCTCTCTTTGCAGTGCTGCAATGGCAGCTACTGCTTGTTGCCATTGGCAGCACACTCTCTCCTACATTTCTCACATCTTTGGCTCTACTACATCTCTCATTTTGCTCTCTAGCATATACCTCTATTTATAGGCATTCATGGAGGCTATTCTTGGTTTGTTGTCAACA